GACCAATTACTAAAGCTGATATTTAGAAGATTTTGAAACTTACCATGGGCTCTTCATCATTTTCTGCATCCGAGCTGTTGGTAGAAACAAAGGCGTTCAGAGTTAGTTCAAATGTAACCATCGTTGATTAGTGAGAAACTTGAGGAGTATAATTGAGGCAATGAAGAGTAAGTATGAAGAGTGTAGAAGTGGCTTACCCATCTTCTCCTATCTCCTGAAAGAGAAAAGCAATAACCATTTAGAACCAAATGTCAAGGGACACAAATGAGACATCCATGTGTCAGATTGTTTCCTCAGTACGTTTGAAAGGCAGGAAAAGTTCTATGAATAGTACCTTTTAGCCAGCTTAAGTTACAGCACATATTTAGAAGATTTTGAAACTTACCATAGGCTCTTCATCATTTTATGCATTTAAGCATGTCATACATTTTACCTCAATACCTTGTAAAGGCAGTAAAACCTCTGTGACTTGTACCTTTTAGCCAGGTTATGCTAAAGCTGATATTTAGAAGACTTTGAAACTTACAATGGGCTCTTCATCATTTTCTGCATCCGAGCTGTTGGGAGAAACAAAGGCGTTGTGAGTTAGTTCAACTGTAACCATTGTTGATTAGTGAGAAACTTGAGGAGTATAATTGAGGCAATGAAGAGTAAGTATGAAGAGTGTAGAAATGGCTTACCCATCTTCTCGTATCTCCTGAAAGAGAAAAGCAATAACCATTCAGAACCAAATGTCAAGGGACACAAAGGAGACATCCATGTCTCAGATTTTTTCCTCATTACGTTTTAAAGGCAGGAAAAGTTGAATTAATAGTACCTTTTAGCCAGCTTAAGCTAAAGCTGATATTTAGAAGATTTTGAAACTTACCATGGATTCTTCATTATTTTCTGCCTCGGAGCTGTTGGTAGAAACAAAGGCGTTTTGAGTTTATTCAAATGTAACCATCGTTGTTTAGTGAAAAACTTGAGGAGTATAATTGAGGCAATGAAGAGTAAGTATGAAGAGTGTAGAAGTGGCTTACCCATCTTCTCCTATCTCCTGAAAGAGAAAATCAATAAGCATTTAGAACCAAATGTCAAGGGACACCAAGGAGACATCCATTTCGCAGATTTTTTCCTCATTACGTTTTAAAGGCAGGAAAAGTTCTATGAATAGTACCTTTTAGCCAGCTTAAGTTACAGCTGATATTTAGAAGATTTTTAAACTTACCATAGGCTCTTCATCATTTTCTGCATCTAAGCATGTCATACATTTTACCTCAGTACCTTGTAAAGGCAGTAAAACTTCTGTGAATTGGACCATTTAGCCAGCTTATGCTAAGGCTGATATTTGAAACCTACCATAGGCTTTTCATCATTTTCTGCATCCAGGCTGTAGGTAGAA